GCAGCCTCTTGTTCTGGTGGGGCTTATTCACCCGCATTTGCGAACGGAGGAAAAACTGCGTGCTTTTGAATGTTATATTAAGTACTTCAGGCATGTGACACGATGGATTGTAAAATTTTGGCTATTTTGGCCCAATTGTTCTGGTGGGGCTAGTGATCAGAGTTCAATGGATGCCAAGCTTGTCAAGCATTTTGGCAAGCGTGCCCTGTGTTTTTTGGGCAAACATGTACATCTTTTTTTCGGTAAGATGCCCAAGTGCTGGTAACGGCGATAAGTACAAAGGAAACTAAAACAGTGGCTAGGAAATATATACCAAAAAGTCAAACCTTCGTCTCCGGGACTGTTTTGTGTGTTGTCTGAGAATAATACGTAATCAAACTCACTCAATTGGGGTATCCTCAGCAGGGCTGACATAAAAGGAGATAAAATGTCCACAAAATAATCACCTGAGGTTTTGAGGGCCTACAGGAACGTACGGTAAGGCCAACAGCATACATTTGTGTTGGCCTAAAAACACCCTTAAAATATTTTGTTATCGTTTTATTGACTTTTGTATGTAGAAACGTAGAAACACCTTTACAATAAACTCTGGAAACTGACAAACAAGTCCTGAAATCTGGATAACCTTGATGAAAACCCTGAAATCAGTAAAAATCCTAACATATCTCACCCTGATCCCATTACTGAATCTGCACTGGCATGCATTGAAATATATACACATGCATCACAGTTATCAGCATTTGAACCTAAAAGAGCCAGGTTATTTTAGACCATCTCGTAGCTGGGGGCGGGGGGAGTGGATTTTGTCTCCCGCGACAAAATCAGCCGCCCCATGCCCAGTATTTTTTTAAAACTTGCCATGCATGTAAAGGAACATCTTATTCATATGAATGTGAAGTTTGAACTCAATCCAATGCATAGTTTTGCCTGTGTTGTAGTCGAGACCACTTATGACCTTCACAAGACCACAGGAGACCAACACAAGACCTCCAGTCTGAATTCAAGTCACAAGCGATTCAAATCATCTGCAACAAAAGTAGTCACCCAGTTACCTGTGACTGGTCTTGTGCATGATCTTGTGCATGGTCTTGTGCATGGTCTTGTGCATGGTCTTGTGCATGGTCTTGTGCATGGTCTTGCGCATGGTCTTGTGCATGGTCTTGTGCATGGTCTTGTGCATGGTCTT